CCAGCATTTGTTATTTTCTGTCTTGTTGAACTTTGCTACTAGTGCTGGAAAAAGATGGTATCTCATTGTTGTTTTGATTTGCATCTCTCTAACAGCTAATGATCGTGAGCATTTCTTCGTATGTTTGTTGGCCACTTGAATATCCTCCTTGGTGAAGTGTCTATTCATGTCTTCTGCCCATTTTTTTAATTGGATTGTTTGTCTTTTTTTTATTGAGCTGTTAGAGTTTTCTACAAATTCTACAGATAAGTCCCTTGTCAGATATGTCATTACCAAATATTTTTTCCCAATCTGTAGGTTCTAAGACGAGTATTCTTGATAGTATTTCTTCCTTAAATATTTAATAGAATTCATCAGAGGGCATTGAGTTTTCTTTGTGGGAAGGCTGTACATTGCAAAATCAATTTCACTAGTAGATAGACATATTCTAATTTAGTATTTTTTTTTCAGTCTGTTTTGGTCATTTGTGACTTTTGAGGAAGTTGTACATTTCATATAAATTCTCAAATGTCCAGAGCACCTGTAGAGACTTCTATAATTTCTGATGTTGGTAATTTGGGACTTCTCTCTCTCTTTTTTTTTTTTTTTTATTTAACAGTAATCTAGCTTGAGTTTTAGCAGTTTTGTTGCTCTATTCAAAGATTAGCTTGTTGTTTCATTGATTTTTTTCTATCATTTTTCTATTTTCTATTCCATTGATTTCTGCTCAGATTTTTATAATTTTTTCTTCTTATTTTGGCTTTCATTTTAGTTTCTTAAGGTGGAGGATTTTGTCATTTGTTTTGAACCTTTATTCTTCTCTAATATATACATTGAAAGCTATAATTTTCTTTCTAAGCACTGCGTTAGCTGCATTCCACAAATTTTTATACATTGCATTTTCATTTTTATTCAATTGAAAATATTTTTTTATTCCTTGTGATTTATAGTAAGGCAAATATTTCAATATATGTGGTACAATGCCTTCTATTTACACCCTATGTAAAGAAAGCATCAAATCATTTTAACCAATGGCGCCACAACATGTTAGAACTACAAAGGTGCGAGATGGATAAAGTACGGTTTTGGTGTTCTCTTATGTTGCTCTCTTGCTGTCCAAAGCTGTGTCTCCTGAACCATTCGATTTGGGTCTTATCCTCTAGTGCACACATTTTCTATTGACTCACCTCTCTTCAAAAAAATATCCATTCTTAGAAGATATAATATGACTTAAATACAGAAGTATAATTCATTGTGAGGTCTCTATCGCTAGTCTTCATGCTATCAGGAATATTTATTATAAGGTATTGGGAAAGTTATTTTTGATCAATGATGTTTTCTTTGTACCCCTTGCCCTTCTGGTAATATAATTTATCCTTCTACCACTCTAACCACACAGAATAATGTTATAAATCAATAACAAAAATATCAGAAAATCTCCAAATATTTAGAAATTAAACAACTTCCAAATTTTCCACTGGGTCAAAATACATAATGCATCTATAAATAACTCTAGGCAACTGAATGGATCCAGTATTTATCATTAATGTTGCAAATGGTTTAATAGGCTGTGACACCTGGACAGCTACCAACCCAGTTTTCAATATTTCCAGGAAGACACAGTAAGTTAAAAAATTTACTGTGCACTTTCTATCCTCCAGCCCCCACCTCCACTCCTACCCTTCAACTCTGCAATTTTTTTTTTTAACATTAGGAGTAAAAGATTTCAAATGATAGACTACGTTGAAAGATTTCAAAAAATTTCTAAACATTATATTCTCCTCAGGAAAACAAAACCTTTGCTGTGGAGTTGATTCTGACTCATGGCAATCTCAGATCTAAATACAGATTAGTAATAATATGTTAAATTATTAGCAAATGCTATTTATTTAATAAGAACTAGTACTAAAACAAAGTATAGTTTAGAGTTGCAGGTTTAAATTTGTTTTAAATATTTGAGCTATTCATTCCACAACATCTTATTTTTGTTTAATAATTAGCACTTGATAGTGAATTACTGGGAGGCAGAGTCTAGAAAGCTAATTGTCTTCCAGTTAATAGGACTGTACTGAAGAAGTCTTGTAGTTCTTCGTATTTAGTGCCCTAAAATTGGAAAACAAGTATATATTTAATTTTATAGATGCAGAAAATATATCTGTACATTCTTCTAAAAACTGTATTAAACAAAGCTGCCTCATCAAATGATGTAGAAACTTCACTTTATATAGGTCAGATATACTTAGAAAATGTAATTTAAGAAGGAAAACAAATATAGAACCAATTTTAAATACTGCTAACTAGAGGTTTATTAGTTTTAAATTAGGGTAAAAGAGGCTAAAACTTCACTTAGGATAATATTTGTGATAATATAGATATAAAGATATTTCAGTAAACTCAAAATTACTAAACAGAAGATAAACTTCTGATTTTTCAAAAGTTACTCTTTTCTTTTTTCCTAATCTAAGTATATATGCTAGGCATTGCAGTACTTTCATTGCAGGTTTGTTCTCTGCATAGAAAACATAAATTATTTTTAATCTATTTGAGGTGGGTGTGGTAAGATAACTCAAAGTTTACCATCTATTGTATAGACTTTCTATAATAGGTAAAGTTGGGCAGAGTGCTGATAAGTGGTGGCCAGTGGATAAAAGACAAAAGACTTGGAATGAAAGCTCCATGTCTTTTTATTTCCAACTCCAGTATTCTACCAACTAGCCCACACAGAATATTATTTCTGTAGCCAACAGATTAAATTACATAAATTTACCCTAACAGATAATCACTTAACTATGTAAAGAAAATGCACTTAGTGGTACAAACTGGCTTATATTTATTCTTTCAGGAAATTTGAATTTTGCTATGTCGAAATCAATTTACTTTACTTTAGTTACAAAATTGTCACCAAAGTGCTATGACAAACAAACAATCTCACTGCCATAGAGTCAATTCCAACTCATAGTGACCCTACAGGACAGAGTAGAACTGCCTCATTTACAAGGCTGTAAATCTTTACAGAAGCAGACTGACTCTTTCTCCTATGGAGTGGCTGGTAGGCTCAAACCAATGACCTTTTGGTTCGCAGCCAAATGCTTTAAACACTGTACTACCAGAGCTCCATAAGTGCTATGAAGAGTAGATTAAATATACATAAATTAGGTGTGTCATTACCATGTCTATATTAGCTTATTAAAGTCCATGTGGGTTAAAACATCACTTAAAATATATTTTCAAAACCTGTTCATTTGAGCCCATATATATAGCATCAGCAATACACAGTAAGCTTGCACATGAATTAGCTAAATATTGGATCTGATAAGAACTTCACTAACATTGACTCATTTATAATAGGACCTTATTCTCAGTGATTTTGTATTAATTACATAATTTAACAGTTTTATTTATAATGTGAAGCTGCTAACTATTTAGGGCTTTTGGCAAAGAATTTTATATTGGATTTTTCCTGAGAGCTGGTTTCATTTTATATAAAATTTAAATGCATTGTTTTTCAATTAATTGTAATACTAAATTAATGAAACTGAATTCATGAGAAAGACATTAGTTCCAATTTTTATAATAAGATGCACATATGGTTTAATACAGATGAATATGTAATAATTACAGGGTTACAGGCAATAGAAATGTACACAACATTCTGTAATTAACACTACTGATACCTACAAATTCTCAATAAATAACTTTAACAAACACTTTTTAAGCACTTGCCAGGTGGAAAGTACAGAGGTAACTGATTTGAGGAATAAAAAAATGTAGACCCATCTACATGGACCACATTACATCTGACTGTATTGTAAGGCAGAACATACATGAAATAGCTGTAATACATAAAAAGCACAGGTAGTATAGAGAAACAAGTTCAGTAAAGGTTCCACCTTAAGATGTTACTAAAAACTTTATAGAAGAGAAGATAGGAAGCTGAATAAGTAAATTTATTAGTGAACAGAAGGAATGCTAAAAAAAGTAAAAGTAGCTCATGTAACTGAAACTAAAGGTGCATGGAATAGTAATGGGCAAGACAACATGAAAGCAGATGACAGTCACATCACACAGGGCCTACAATTCTGCATATCAGATGTTTGCAGTTGGAGGGTGTACAGAGCTGATGCCTCCTGTGAGATTAGAAGAAGATTATTTCTAAATATTTTTTAAAAACATACTTAATGTATACAAAAGACAGTGACCATATGTCAAAAAATGTGAGTGTGCATGAGTTCATTTTGAAGATATTTATGTGTGAAGTAACAAATTATATAAAATTTAAAATGTTGCTTATTTAAAATCACTTTTCTAATCATGAACTTAGCTGAAATGGATTGGTATTGCCCATTTTGACTTGGACAAACATGGTCTGCTATGCTGGGAATGACAAATGAACAGGAATGGCATCAAGCACTGTCAAAAAGAACATTTCAAGATCTATCCTGAAATACAGCTCTGTCAGTGATAGGATTATGCCCATGCACCTACAAGGAAGATAAGTCATTATGACTACTGTTCAAATTTACACACCAACTACTAATGCCAAAGATGGAGATATTGAAGATTTTTACCAATTTTTGCAGTTTGAAATGGATCAAATATGCAATCAATATGCATTGTAATTACTGGTGATTGGAATACGAAAGTTGGGAAACACAGCCTTGGTGATAAAAACAGTGCTGGAGATCACATGATAGAATTTTGCAAGATCAACAACATATCCATTGGAAATACCTTTTTTCAACATCAGAAACAGTAATTATTCACTTGGACCTGGCCAGATGGAATACACAGGAATCAAATTGACTATATTTATGGAAAGGGACAGTTGTTGTTGTTGTTGTTGTTAAGTGCCGTCGAGTCGTTTCCGACTCATAGCGACCCCATGCACAGCAGAACGAAACACTGCCCGATCCCG